TATTTGGATTTTCAATTGTTGAAATAGTACCAAGATAGACTACAGAAGTAATCCCACAGTTATTTTGTAGTGGACAATTATTTTGGATTCCTACAATTACATAAGTTGTTATTTGTATTCTTATAATTAGTATTGCAGTTAGTAACCTGTTGATTAGTCAAGCCTTTTTAAATTCCTATACTTGTTAAAGACTATGTTGTTATTTTTTTAATTATCTTCTCTAGGTTGAGTTACACAACTATATATATTTAAGGGTATTAGGATTAAATATTTTACTAAGTGGGTTAGTTTCGGGTTGGGGAAATTTTTTTGATTTTTTTATAAAATATACATATATGTTAACTTAATTTTTTGACCATTAACATTGAAAGCATTATGAACCAAATAACCTTTCTAGATTCTTTTCTTATTATGGTTGCAAAAAAAAGGGTTTTATATTGAATAGTAAATTTTGTATCCACTTTTTTTAGTGCAGAATATAATGGAAAACTATGTTTATTGAAGAATATCCTTATTAAAAAAAGGCTAATTCTAAATTCAATGGAAGAGGGGAATGTTTGATAACCGAAGGGGGATGGTTTTAATGTCGGATGCATTTATAGGATGGGTTGGAATTAATTATAAATTTGGTTGGAAAATATTGGAAGATCTAGGGTGACATCTAGAAAAATACTTGTCTAACATTGTAGTAACTATTGTTTAAGACCAAAAGACTAAATTCACTTTACAAGATCATTTTCCTAATACAATTTCTATAAAGTACAAAAAATTCAAAACGAACAACAAAATTTCATCATGGGCTAGACAAATGATGTTTTACCAATGTTGATGATAAATAAATTGTTTTAGTTTATTTTTATTGAATAAATATGTTGATTTTCAATATTAAAATATTGAATATATTAAAAATCAAATGAATATTCAAACTATCAAAATATATCAAAAGTAATTTTTTATCCCCGCTTGAATAGTTTATATATATATTTTGTATATTTAGAATACAGATATAAATTTCAAAATTTATATAAATAAAGGGTTTTATAATTTTGTCTATTTATTTTTTTTCAAATTCCTTTAATCGTTAGGATTTAAAACATTAATCATTAAAAGACAAGAAATTACCAATTAATGAAAACATGTTTTTTTATCATAGCTAAAATATCGGAATTATAAATATATATATATATATTTATATTAACATATATATAAATTAACAGATACACCAGCAAAATGATGTGCTAAAATTTTTGCAAAAAAAAATTCAATGAAACGACCATGAATGTGCATATGAGGTCCCACTTTTTTTGCAAAAATTTATTTAGGTAATAAAATTAAAAAATTGAAGAACCCAGTCATAATGAATTTTTAAAAACGTTAAAAATCTGTTTTATTTCTAAACTTGACATTTTAAATTGATTTTTGGAAATTTACATTTTTAGTTTGGTGATTAGTTCATCGACTGTTTGATGGATTGCTTCAAAAGAAAGGTTTTTAATCATGTTTTTGATTAAATATTAAATGTTTGCAAGATGGTTTTCTGATGTATAAAAATTTGTTTTAAATGTCATAAAATTTTAGAATCCCCCATTCAAATATAAATCAAGCATCATGAAATGTTTTTTCGTCTCACAATATATTTATATATATATATATATATATATAATAAATATTTATATATATATATATATAATATATAATTATTTTTCAGTGGTTTAGATTTTTTGGTGACATAATGGTCTGAATGTTTCTTTAACAGAAAGGGAAGATGAAATATAATTATTTAGAATTAAACCTTCAATATCGGGTGTGAAAATATTCAAGCGAAATTTTTTAGCAAATGGTAATTTTCAAATGCTTATAAATTTAATTTATAAGAACAACAAAATTTCCATGGTAACAGCTAGGGTGTAAATAAATATATGAATAAATATATATATATTTTAATAATAAAATCATTTTTTATACAAAATAAAAAGAGGGAAAGGACACCTAAACAATGTAAATTTGAAATGGATCGATTTAAAAACCCAGTCTGAGTAGTTGTTCGATAAGAATTTGTTGGAAATTTTCCTCTGCTTTTTAAAAAAACATCGAAAAAACTTTTTTTATTGAACAAAAATAAATGGTTTAAAGCCTCATAAATTTGATTTATTTGGAGCGATTAAAAAGTTATTAATAACAAATTGACTTCAAGTTAAATTTCAAACCCACATCTGAATAATGCAAAAACATATTAGTCAAAAGATGGGATGGCAGAAAAACATTTTCTGGGATAATAAAAATGTTTTACCAATCCATAAATTTATATATATATATGGTTATACAGTCAACAAAATTTGCTTGAAACGTTATTTATACATGCATGAACCATGCTTGGCCAAAATTAACTGGGGTACATCCTAGAAGCGGCGGAAATAGCATTCAATGGGACTGTAAAATAATTTTTTGTAAAAGTAAATAAAAAAGAGGATTACCAGGCAGTCACCTTTTGAAAATAAACACATAGTCATGTAAAGAAAATACAAGAAAGGTGATAATAGACCAGTATTCAAAGATCAGTTAACAATTGTGTTTTGTTAGCAGATGTTATTCCATTGACTTCCAAATGTTGGCTAGATTGCATAATAAATCGAAACAGAAGGAGGACTTTGTGGAATGTCCTAAACGATCAGACCATATTTGAAGAACAAATTATATAAAAAACGTATAGAAAATATTTTATAATTTCCGTGATATATTGCAAGGTTATTTTGGTTAGAAATTTTTTTAGAAGTATTAATGAAAAAAACAATTTTCATGAAAACTGGAAGCACGCTGATTTTTATAAAAGTCGACGATTTATTTTCTGAAGAATAACAGAGAATGAGAATACTCTGCCTATGAAAATCATCAAAAACAAAAAAATGGTCTTGAATGATTATTTTAAAAGAATGGAGAAAATCCTTTTATTAAAAAAAATCTACTCCTGGTGTCAAACAACAAGTCAGAAAAAAACAAGAAAAAATTTAATTTATGGACAGTTCGACAAAAAACACACAAACACATTACATTTAGATAGAGTGTTGAACATTACACACAGGATATAAATTTGATTGTGGAAGAAAATATCAAATTTGTAGGTCACGGGACTGGAAAAAATTATTTTCATCCATGAGGACATAACGGACGAATCAAACGGTAAAAATGTAGAAAAGAAAAACGTCGTTTTCCAATTTCAAATGGTTCTTGATATAAAAGAATTATGAATAGATATCGTTAAAAGAGTGTTGTATCTCTTGAAATATATTTTCAGTTGTCATTTTTACAGATTTTCAAAACAAAGAATCTGTCTGAAAAGACTAAAAAAGAATGTTTTGGCCAAAAAATGTTTGAATAGGAATTCAAAAAGAAAATATTAAAGCTGGTAGTCTTTATTATGTATTAAACAGCAATAAAAGGAAATGCATTCACTGGGACTGAAGCGTTATTGAAAGAGGGCTATAATTATATGCCAGCAGAGAAGAAGGTTGAGTGTATGTTTTTACTTCAGGTTTATTAGGGCAAGATCTGTTTTGCAAATTATTTTCCATAAATAAATTCCCTCAGGGGGAGAAAATGAGGACGTTAGGAAAACAAAATGAAAGAACATAATTGAATTTGCTAGAAAATATGTCAGAAAATCCTCAGACTGCAAAATAAAGAAACAGGAGAAGAAGAAGGAGAAAATGAGGAAATTTAAAAAAGGAATAAGGGGAACGAAGAAGGAAAAAATAAAAAGGATAAAACTGAAAAATTTTCTTTTTACAACTATACACACGAAAATGAAAAATGGAAAAAATCCAAGAACAAGAGGGGAAGAAGAATTTTATTGCGTGAGGGAAATTTTTAGTGAGAAAACGTTCATTTATTTAATAAAAGAACACATTATATGGAAGGAGAAAAATGTTTTCGCGTAGAAGAGTAAATAAAAGAACAGCATCTAAGGACTGAAAAAATGTTTCCATTTTGTAAAAAGCTGACCAATAATAAAAACGGTAGTTCAAGGATGAAAAAAAATATTGTGAAAAATGGATCAACAAAAGGACAGAGTTCAATGGGACTGAAACGTCATTGTGTAGAAAAGGGCAATAAAAAACCAGCGTTCAAGGGGAAAAAACGTATTGTAGAAGGAAGCAATGAAAAGAACAGGAAAGACGGGGACTGAAAAATGTTATAAGAAGAAAGATCCAATAAAAAAAAATTCAAAGAAACTGAAGGCGGTCATTGAAGTAGAAAGAGAATAAAAGAACAGCCATTCAAAGGGACTGAAATGGTTATTGGTAGAAAGGAGCAATAAAATTGAAGCATTGAAGGGGACTGAAAATGTTTTTAATAGAAATAAAACTAATAAGCAGAGAAGAAGATAAGAAAATAATATTAAAAAGAAGAAGAAAGCGTTAAAGAACAGAACAAATGTTGTGTGTAGAAAAGAGAAAGAAAAGAACAAGAATTCAAGGGACTGAAAATTTACAGGAAGAAAAAAGCAAGAAAACAGCATTCAAACATGAAAAGAAAAAGTTAAGAAGTAGAAACAGAAAATAAAAGAAAAGCATAAAAGGGGACTGAAAAAGTTATTAATGTAGAAGAAAGAGCAATAAAAGAAGAAGAAGAAGAAGAAGAAGGGGACTGAAAATGAAGGGAGGAAGAGAGAAAAAGAGGAAAAAAGAAAATATTCAAGGGACTGAAAACATGAAGAAGAAAAAAGAAAAAAGAACAGAAGAAGAAGAAGAATAGGAAATAGAAGAAGAAAGAAAAAGAAAAGAAGAGCAAGAAAGGGACTGAAATTGTTATGAAAGAGCAGCAAAAAAGAAGAAGAAAAAGAGAAGAAGAAAAAGAAGAGAGGAAGAAAAAAAGAATGTTTAGAAAGAGCAGGAAAAGAACAGCATTCAAGGGGAAGAAAAGAAGAAGAAGAAGAAGTGTAGAAGAAGAGAAAAAAAACAAAAGATTCAGGAAGAGAAAAAAAAAAAGACATGAAAAAGAAGTTAAAAGAAAAAGAAAGAAGAAGAAGCTTCAAGGGAAGAAAAAGAAAAAGAGAGGAATAGAAACAACAAAAAGAAGAAGAACAGCAAAAAGAAGAAGAAGAAGAAGAAGAAGTATTCCCCTTTAGAAGAAGGAAGTAGAAAAGACAAAAAAGAGAGGAAGAAACAATAAAAGTTAAAAAAAGAAGAAGCAATAAAAAAGAAGAAGAAGAAGAAGAAGAAAATTAAAGTTGAGGAGAAGGAGAGAAAAATAAAAGAGAGGAAGAATTCAGGGGGACATGAAAATGTTATTAAATAAAAAGAAGAAGAAGAAGAAGAAGAAGAAGGGACTGAAAAAGAAGAGGAAGAAGAAAATTTTAAAGAGAAGAAGATAAAAAGACTGAAAATTTTATTAGATAAAAGAAGAATAAAGAAAAGAATTCAAGAAGAAGAAAATTTTATTGTCGTAGGAAAAGAAAAAGAAAAGAAGAAGAAGAAGACTGAAAAAATTTAAAGTGTGAGGAAAGAGAAAAGAAGAAAAAGTGAAGAAGAAGACTGAAGAATGTTTTAAAAAAGAAGAATAAAAAAAGAAAAAGAGACTGAAAAGTTAGTGAACAAAAAGACATGAAACAGCAGCAATCAAAAAGAAGAAGAAGAAGAAGAAGAAGAAGAAAAGAGTTTTTTTTGTGAGGAAGAGAGAAAAAGAAAAAGAGAGGAAAAGAAACAATAAAAGAACAGCAAAAACAGGAAGAAAATAAAAGAAGAAGAAGAAGAAGACAGAAGAAGGACTGAAAATTTTGTGAGGAGGAGAGAAAAGCACAAAAGAGGATAAAGAACACAAAAAGACATTTGAAACAGCAGCAATAAAAGAAGAAGAAGAAGAAGAAGGGAAGAAGAAATGTTATTGTGTAAAAGGAGAGAAAAAGAAAAAAGAAGGAATGAAAACAAAAAAAAGACATGAAACAGCAATAAAGAAGAAGAAGAAGAAGAAGAAGAAGAAGAAGAATTTTAAGGTGAGGATTGAGAAAAAGAAAAAGAAAGGAAGTAGAACAATAAAAGACATGAAACAGCAGCAATAAAAGAAGAAGAAGAAGAAGAAGAAGAAAGTTTTAAAGTGTGGAAGAGAGAAAAAGAAAAAAAGAGAGGAAGAAGAAAAAAAAAAAAGACATGAAACAGCAAAAATAAAATTCAAAGAAGAAGAAGAAGAAGAAAGAAGTTAAATTTAAAAATTGAGGAGGAGAGAAAAAGAAAAAATTCAAGGAAGTGAAAATAAAAAAGTTACATGAAACAGCAATAAATAAAAGAAGAAGAAGAAGAAGAAGAAGAAGAAGAAAGAAAAGCATTCACGGGGAGGAAGAGAGAAAAAAAAAAAGAAAAGCATTCAAGGGGACTGAAAAAAAAAAAATGAAACAGCAGCAAAAAAGAAGAAGAAGAAGAAGAAGAAGAAGAAAAATTTTTCTTGTGAGGAGGAGAGAAAAAAGAAAAAAGAGAGAAAAACAATAAAAAGAAAATGAAACAGCAGCAATAAAAGAAGAAGAAGAAGAAGAAGAAGAAGAAGAGTTTGAAAAGTGTGAGGAAGAGAAAAAAGAAAAAAGAGAGAAAAGAAACAAAAAAAGACATGAAACAAAGCAAGAAAAGAAGAAGAAGAAGAAGAAGAAGAAGAAGAAGAAGAGTTTTAAAGCAAGAAAAAGACAAAGGAAAAAGAAAAAGAAAAAAAGAAATGTTTTGGAAGAAAAGAACAAAAAAAAAGAAATGAAACAATAAAAGACATGAAAAAAAGAAGAAGAAGAAGAAGAAGAAGCACAAAAGAAGAGTTTTAAAGGAGGAGGAAAATGAAAAAAGACAAAAAGAGAGGAAGTAGAAAGAAAAAGACATGAAACAACAGCAATAAAAAGAAGAAGAAGAAGAAGAAGAAGAATAAAAAGAAAAAGGGAAGAAAAAAAAAAAAAAAAAGAGGAACTAGAAAAATAAAAAAGAGAAATAAAAACAGAAGAAAAGGGGAAGAAAAGAAGAAGAAGAAAGAAGAAGAAGAAGAAGGGCATTAAATTCGCATTTGAAAAAGAGAAATTACAAAAAAGAGAGGAAATAGAACAATAAAAGAATTGGAAAACAGCAGCAAAGAAGAAAAGAAGAAAAGAAAAGAAGAAGAAAAAGAAAGAAAAAATGAAAAAAGAGAGAAAAAGAAAAAAAAGGAAAAAAACAATAAAATAGAAACAGCAAAATGAAAAAGAAGAAGAAGAAGAAGAAGAAAAGAAGAGCATTCAAAGCTGAAAATGTTTTGAGGAGGAGAGAAAAAAAAAAAAAAAAAAAAAGAAAAGAAAAAGACATGAAACATCAAAAAAGAAAAAAGAAAGGAAGAAAAGAAAAAAGATTTTAAAAAAGAATGGAAGAATAAAAAAGAAAAGAAAAGAGAGAAACTTAAAAAATAAAAGAATGAAACAGCATATATAGAAAAGAAAAAAAATAAAGAAGAAGAAGAAGAAGAAAAGTTTTTAACCAAAAAAGAAAGGAGAAAAAGAAAAAA